ATGGAATTCAGACCTAGATTTGCTTCTCATTTTGGCCTTGTCCTCATTCTACAAGTGATACTTTAGTTCTATTGAAATTTGCTAGCTACTTATCAAGGACTCAGATATCCAGATATCAAGGTCTCATTAGGAAAAGGGATTCATATCTGTCTTTGATTTGGATTTGAAGGTAAGGACTGGGGAGGAATGAGTAGAATATACCGTTTCCTACTTTCCCCTTCCCCCATCCAACCTGGTCAATTCATACTGAAGTTCTTTTTTCCCCTGGATAAATTAGATTGGCTTCTGATTAGAGATTAGATGCTTAATTCTTTAATATAATCACTGTTTAAACATTTCAAAGTATCTGAAAGCAAATACTTTGGCAAAGAGATTTCTTTTTTTTTTTTGTATACACAACATTAACAATATCTTGTTGTATCCAGCTTCAACAAATCTTCATATTAAAGAAACTTAAAATAATTATGGGGAGTCCTGGCAAGATGGAGTAGTGACATGGTGTCCTCATGCTTAAATCTGGAGGTAGCATAAACAAAACGTAGTTTCTATGACAACAATCTGGAATTATATTTTATAACCACTTAATAATTATTATTAACAGAATTATTTTGGTCCTCAGAATCAAAGCTAATAGTTTATTCATCTGCTTTTTTAATTGGCAGCTTCATATCAAGTTCTGTCATAATATTTCTGGGAGTTAAAAATTAATATTTGCAAATAGATGCCTGGCCATTTTTGTAGATGTTTTTCAAATTTAGTGAAATGTTCCATTTTTACTTTTGTCTAAAACGACTATAATGTTGTTCACTGAAATAATGGGGACCAGCCCTGAGATTACCAGATTTCAGGGTTGATAAATATGTATAAAGTTCTTATTACCAAAGCAAGATAAATGTAGTTAAGCTTGCTTAACACGAAGTGTGTATTCTTCCAGATCATTTTATAAGCTTATGCATACATGCAATTTTAATGTAACCATAATATATATAAATATTTTTCCACTTATAACATCTTACATGTTTTAGCACATTTTAAAGGGCTGCATAATACCCTTTAGTATGGACGTACCATTACTTATTTTTGTTGTTGTTCAGTTGCCCAGTTGTGTCCAACTCTTTGGAATCCCATGGACTGCAGCATGCCAGGCTTCCATGTCCTTCACTATCTCCCAGAGCTTGCTCAAACTCATGTCCATTGAGTTGATGATGCCATCCAACCATCTCGTCCTCTGTCATCTCCTTCTCCTCTTGCCTTCAATCTTTCCCAGCATCAGCGTCTTTTCTAATGAATCAGCTCTTCGCATCAGGTGGCCATATATCAGAGCTTTACCTTCAACATCAGCCCTTCCAATGAATATTCAGAGTTTATTTCCTTTAAGATTGACTGCTGTGATCTCTTTGCTGTCTAAGGGACTCTCACATCTCCAGCACCACAGTTCAAAAGCATCAGTTCTTCAGTGCTCAGTCTTCTTTATGGTCCAGCTCTTACATCCATACATGACTACTGGAAAAACCATAGCTTTAACTATATGGACCTTTGTTGGCAAACAGATGTCTCTGCTTTTTAATACACTGTCTATATTTGTCATAGCTTGTCTTCCAAAGAGCAAGCGTCTTTTAATTTCATGGCTGCAGTAACCATCTGCTGTGATTTTGGAGCTCAAGAAAATAAACTATGTCACTGTTTCCATTGCTTCCCCATCTACTTTCCATGAAGTGATGGAACTGGATGCCATGATCCCAGCTTTTTGAATGCTGGGTTTTAAGCCAGCTTTTTCCACTCTCCAGACACCTTTATCAAGAGGTTCTTTAGTTCCTCTTTGCTTTCTGCCATAAGGGTGGTATCATCATCTGAGGTTATTGATATTTCTCCTGGCAATCTTGATTCCAGCTTGTGCTTCATCCAGCCTGACATTTTGCATGATGTACTCTACATGTAAGTAAAATAGCGGGGTGACAATATACAGCCTTGATATATTCCTTTCTCAATTTTGAACCAGTCCATTGTTCCATGTCTGGTTCTAACTGTTGCTTCTTGATCTGCATACAAGTTTCTCAGGATGCAGGTAAGGTGGTCTGGTATTCCTATATCTTGAAGAATTTTCCACAGTTTCTTGGGATCCACACAGTCAAAGGCTTTAGCATAGTCAGTGAAGCAGAAGTAGATGTTTTTCTGGAACTCTCTTAGTTTTTCTATGATCGAACAGATGTTGGCAGTTTGATCTCTGGTTCCTCTGCCTTTTCTAAATCCAGCTTGTACATCTGGAAGTTCTTAGCTCATGTACTACTGATGCCTAGCTTGCAGGATTTTGAGCATAATCTTGTTAGCATGTGAAATGAGTGTAATTGTGTGGTAGTGTGAACATTCTTTGGCATTGCCTTTCTTTGGTATTGGAATGAAAGCGGACCTTTTTCAGTCCTGTGTGTGAGTTTTCCAAATTTTCTGGCATATTGAGTGCAACACTTTTACAGCATCATCTTTTAGGATTTGAAATAGCTCAGCTAGAATTCCATTACCGCCACTATCTTTGTTGGCAGTGATGCTTCCTAAGGCCCACTTGACTTCACACTCCAGGATATCTGGTTCTAGGTGAGTGATCACACCACTGTGGTTATCCTAGTTTATCTATCATCCATTATTTATTTAATGGAGCAGGTAAAATAAACATGTCAATTTTTTTCTCTTTTTTCTTTTTTGCTATTTGTAATTATATTCCATGTTGTGAAGAACATCCTTATAGCTAAATCTTTGTATGAACTCTTGATTATTTCCTGATTTTACTATAATTTACTCAGACAAAAGGACCAGGGTAGTATAAAACTTTTGAATATCTTACAAGCTTAAAACCACTGTGTGAAAAACTTTTGATTGTCATTTGGCAGTACCTAGCAATATATGACCAAAATTTTTACATGTTGCAGATTCTAATGTTAAGGTTAGAATTAGAATTATTATTATTTTTTTTTACATTTTATTTATTTATTTATTTTTTTCACAACCATAGTGTATCTTTTTTTTTTTTTTTTTACAGAATTAGAATTATTTACAACTGTTTTGCTTCTGTGTTTCTATAAACTCTGTGGAAAAATATGGAATTATATAAAATGGGATGCTTTTATATCTTCTTTTTTCCCCCAAATTACTCAGATTAATAGGATGTATTGTAAGATATTGTCAAATTTACAGTTTATCGGATTCAGCCTTCTCAGTGAGTACCTACATGACAATATATTGCTATAAGCCTCACCTAAATATTTTTGTTAAAAAATAAAATATTGTACAATATTGGGTTAAAATCATTGTTTCTTTGAGTAGTAGCTAACTCTTGTGCATTTGAAGCAGTTCTACGTTTCCATTGTGATATAATTCTTTGTTGTCAGATGAAAGTGAAAGAAGAAACTTGAACTTTGTTAATTTGATTTCATATCTTGGTTTACAGAACACATCTTAAAATCAGTAGAAGAATTAACAAGATGGAATACATTTTTTTCCAGTCAGCACATTTGATATTCTCGTGTGCTTATATTCAGTTATGGCATTTCTTTAAGTTTGGTCCTTTTATAGGAAGAGTATTTATCAATAGGATTTCCCTGGTGGCTCACATTGTAAATAATCTGCCTGCAGTACAGGAGACTCAGGTTCAATCCCTGAGTCAGGAAGATCCCCTGAAGAAGGAAATGGCTACTCACTCCAGTATTCTTGCATAGAGAATTCCATGGACAGAGGAGCCTGGCCAGCTGTCGTCCTTGGAGTTGCAAAGAGTCAGACACAACTGAGTGACTCATATACAGTTTTGATTATTTCCTTGGGTTAAATTTTTAGAAATGAAATTGCTAGACATTTTTAAAACTTGGATAATTTAATTGTTGAATTACCCTTCAGAAAGGTCTAACCAGTTTACAATCCCATAAATCCCAGTGGTTTATGAAAATGCCTATTTTTCTGTACACTTAGTATTTGCTATCCTTTGAAAGTTTTTAATTATACAATGTAAGTAGTAACATAAAAGCAATAAAATGGGAAAAATCACCAAAGAATGCTATTGTCTTAACATGGTAATGATTATAATATTTGTTATAAATAATCCAGGGAGATGAAGGAATATAAGTAGAGTCACCAGATATGGAAAAGCTCAACTCATTCACAGGAGCTAGAGTTTGGTGTCTCTTCAAGGGGAGAAGAACTAGAGAATGAGGCAGGGACCAGTTCATTAAGGACTTTATTTGTCATCCAAAGGGACTTAACCTTATAGAAGATGAGGTGCCATCATTAGAGAATTTGAACTATGTAGGTAAATGATTGATTTTGATAGATTTGCATTTTAGAGTCACTCTGCTGTCACCAGTGGCAATACATTGGATGGATTAGATAACTGTTCAAAATTGTTTTCCAGCAGAGTTGAAACTTGCATTTGTAAAGGGCTTAAACTTTTTCCTAGAAGCCAGTATTGCAGCTGTTGGATACTAACACCTCAAAGGGATTGTTGGCAGTAGTTAAGTGAAGAGAAAACAAGAGAGAGAGAGAGACCATATAACATGTTAAACATTGAATCACTGATTTATCTGTTTCTGGAGTGATAGCAACTCATTAGTAGTTTTACAATTAAGACTGGAAGCCATTGAAAGATAAGAAGCAAAAGTATATGAAACAGCACTATCTTTTTTATGAAAAAGTCTTGGTGAATATCAATACTGCTGCATTTTGTTTTTCTTTATCTGGTAGTAACATCAATAGGATTGATATAGACATTCAGTAATGTAGACATTCTACCTGGTTTGTGTGGTAACCAAAATATGAAATGTAACAGACATGTTTTCTGCAATAATAGCAAATTGTACCTTCAACTTGAAGTTTGCTGTTAAACAAAGTTTTATTTCTGTGGGTTTGTGTGGTAACCAAAATATGAAATGTAACAGACATGTTTTCTGCAATAATAGCAAATTGTACCTTCAACTTGAAGTTTGCTGTTAAACAAAGTTTTATTTCTGTGCTGTTTACAGCCTGTATCCCAAGCAGTTGGAGCTGAACAACAAGCGACTCTTCTAAAACCAGACTTAGTTCGAAGGTGAGTATCTTCAAATTAATACCATGAATGCAATGAGGGCATATTGAAGTATTTGCCTTCTTTAGGTGCTTAGTCTCCTGACTACAGAAGCTTCTGTGTTCTAGTATTTGTGTGTATGTTCAGTAAAAATAGTAGATATTATTCTTACTTTTTTATGTTAATAAGCATCATATGGATTGTGATATTATTGACCATTTTCTTGTTCACATTATTATAATAGTCTGGGTTTGTTTGTTTTTTTTTGGCATGCGGGATCTTTGTTCCCTGACCAGGGTTCGAATCTAGGCCCTTGGTGGTGAGAGTGCAGAGTCTGAACCACTGGACCACCAGGGAATTCTCTTCATATTCTGTTCTTAAGAAAAGATTGTAAGAATTTAAAAAAGGAAATAATGTAATTTACAGTTCCAGCTAATCTAAATAAATAATTTACAACCAGATATAATAATATAATTATATTCTTAAAAAACCAGAGAATTTTATGTATTGTATATATATAATTATATTTTGATTTGGTAATAACTTTCTGACCCAGGAATCAAACTGGGGTCTCCTACATTGCAGGCAGATTGTTTACCAGCTGTGCTACCTGGGAAGCCCCTATCTTGTTCATATTGGCTTAATTCATTTGTTCTGTGTTCAAATTCACTGATATTGATTCTTTCCTTTGTCGTATTCATTCTTCTATTGTGCAAAATGAATCGTTTATTTCTATGATTATATTCCTTTTATAATTTTCATTTGTTTCTTCCTTAATACATTCTGCTATGAGATTTTCTGACTTTTCATTTGTTTCAGGAGTATTTGTAATTGATGTTTGAAACAATTTGATAATGGCTGCTTTAAAATCCTTTTGTCAGGTAGTTCTGATTCATCCTGATTAATCCTGGTCTTGGCATCTCTTGATTGACTTTTCACATTCAAGTTGTGATTTTCCTGGTTTGGGGTATGACAAAGAATTTTCATTTGTATTCTGGACATTTTGGACATTATGTTAGGATATTCTGGATCCTGTTTAAATCCTCTATTTTAGCAGGGAGTCACTGTGTTTAGGTGCCAAGGTACTCATCTATCGATACTTTTGTGGACTATGGTTCTAATACCAATTTAGTTTTCAGAGTCCCTGTAGTACTATTATGGTATTATGGTCTGCTTTAGTTCATCTTATATCACTGGGGCCCACTGCTGGACCAAGGGGTTGGAGAGCAGTGCCCTAGGCCCACTGCCCTAGGCCCACTGCCCTAGGCTATCTCTCCAGACCACATGGTACTGGTAGAGTTCCCACCAGCGTCACCAAGGGAGGAAAGGGCCAACTTTAACTACCTTCTGTTGCTGAGTTGGGGCTTAGGAGACCACTGTGCTTCAGCTACCTTTGCCTTTGGCCAAGAGACGCTGAACCTGGACTGCTTTCTGTCACTGAGTGGGTAACCAGGAGATGCTTAGCTGCTATATTTTTCTTCAAGTCTTGGGAGTCCCTAGCCAGTCTGCCTTCATCTTTTCACTCTTCAGTGCCCTCCTGTGATACTCTACTGTATTATTTCCAGATTTTTTAGTTATACTTAGGGGTATAATTTCTGCCATCTTTTCCAAACCCTAAACTAGTGTTTTAAGATAACTTTGTAAAGTGAATGATACAGCTGCATTGACTAAAATTATATCCCTTTTATCCTCTTAAGATGTTATGTTACTGCTATTTCTTTGTCTATTAAAGAACTAAGAGTAGTATTATTGAATCTTCCTTCTCCACTTGTAGTTATGAAAATTATTTTTCACAGGGACATAGAAAAAATATTAGGGGTTATTTTCGTCTTTTCTTGTATATCTTTATACAGATACTTCATGAGTAGTTCTTTAGGAGAAAGGACTTAACCTAAAAATCAATTTAAAAAATATCTGGTGCTTACAGACCTCATTTAAGTTTCAAATGTATTTATTGAAATATATTCAAATTTATTAAGGAAAAAGCTGAAAAATACCTTTGATACAGATCAACTGAAAGTCTGCCCTGTCATAATCATATTGACTTGAACCTGCAAAATATAGCTAGTTAGAATTAATCATGTTGAATCATTTTCACATTATTCATTCAGTTTTTTTAACCAAAATTGTGGTGTATTTTTTCTTCTTCCCTCCTCCCTCACTCCCTCCCTCCTCCTTTGTTTCTTTCTTTCTTTCTATTGAGGTAAACCTGACGTACACCCTTATGTTAGTTTCAGATGAACAATGTAATGATTTACTATTTTTATGTATTTTGAAATGATCACAATAAGTCTAGTTTAAATATTCATCACCATATATAGTTAATAAAAATTTTTTCTTATGATGAGAACTTTAAAAATCTAAGAAACTTTGAAATATGCAGTACAGTATTATTAACTATCATTGCCATGATGTACATTATATCCCCATGATTTAATTATTTTATAACTGGTATTAATAGTTTGTATATTTTGACTCCCTTCACCCATTTCACCCACTCTCTACCTTCCCACCACTCCCTCTGGCACCCAGCAATCTATCCTCTGTATCTTTGAGCCTGGGGAATTTTTTGCTTGGTTGTTTTTTTCTATTTTTAGATTACACAAAAAGATCATATTGTATTTGTATTTCTCTTTCTGACTTATTTCACTTAGCATAATGCCCTCAACTTCTATGTATGTTGTTACAAATGGCAAGATTTCATTCTTTTTATGTTGTTGTTCAGTTACTAAGTCATATCTGACTCTGCAACCCCATGGACTGCAGCATGCCAGGCTTCCCTGTCCTTCACTATCTCTCAGAGTTTGCTCAAACTCATGTCCATTGAGTCTGTGATGCCATCCAGCCATCTCATCCTGTCACCCCCATCTCCTCCTGCTCTCTGTCTTTCCTAGCATCAGGGTCTTTTCCAGTGAGTCGGCTCTTCACATCAAGTGGCCAAAGTATTGGAGCTTCAGCTTCAATATCAATCCTTCCACGGAATATTCAGGACTGATTTCCCTTAAGATTGACTGGTTTGATTTCCTTGCTGTCCAAGGGATTCCCAAGTGTCTTTTCTAGCACCACAATTTGAAAGCATCAGTTCTTTGGCACTCAGCCTTCTTTATGGTCCAACTCTCATATTCCATACATGACTACTGGAAAAACCATAGCTTTGACTATATGGACCTTTGTTGGCAAATGAATGTCTCTGCTTTTTAATACACTGTTTAGGTTTGTCATAGCTTTTCTTCCAAGGAGCAAGCGTCTTCTAATTTCATGGCTGCAGTCACCATCTGCAGTGATTTTGGAGCCCCAAAAGGTAAAGTTTGTCACTGTTTCCATTGTTTCCCCATCTATTTGCCATGAAGTGATGGGACCAGATGCCATGATCTTTGTTTTTTGAATGTTGAGTACTAAGCCAGCTTTTTCCACTCTGCTCTTTCAACTTCATCAAGAGGCTCTTTAGTTCCTCTTTACTTTCTGCCGTTAGGGTGGTATCATCTGCATATCTGAGGTTGTTGATATTTCTCCCGGCAGTCTTGATTCCAGCTTGTACTTCATTTTGCATGATGTACTCTGCATATAAGTTAAATAACCAGGATGACAATATACAGCTTTGTTGTACTCCTTTCCATTTGGAACCAGTCTGTTGTTCTATGTCCGGTTCTAAGTGTTGCTTCTTGACCTACATACAGGTTTCTCAGGAGGTAGGTAATGTGGTCTGGGAGTCCCATGTCTTGAAGAATTTTCCACAGTTTGTTGTGATCCACACAGTCAAAGGCTTTAGTATATTCAGTGATCAGGAGTAGATTTTTTTCAGGAATTCCTTTTATAGCTGAATAATATTCCTTTTCTTTATCTCATTTTCATTTCTTGTTCTGTTTCCTGCACTCTCCTGTCTTCCACACCTCGTCTATCCTCTGTTGATTTTGTTACATGAACAGGTATATTATTTTGAGTTAGAATTGGTTTTTAGAATTTTATTTGAACATATTAATTTTAAAAAACCCTAAACAAACAAAATAAAATTGGTCAAGAACATCCACTGATAAAAGGTTCCACAGAGGTCCATCACTAGCAGTGTTTTTCTTTCACTCCCACTACTGTGAGATGTTTGCCTAATACATACAAAGTAATCGCAATGTTTCATAACTTTTAAAAACAGCTTCATTGAGATTTAATTTATATACCATTAAATTTTCATCCATTTAAAGTGTACAATTCAATGGCATTTAGTATATTTGCAGAGTTTTACAATCATAACTTTTTGAGAGATATTGTACTACTTACATATTTTATTTAAACTCATTATTTATTATTTTATAATCGAGGGTTTTTCTTAGAATTTTGCCATCAAAATGGAATGATTCTATCCACACAGGGATTTCAGATGTTATAAATCTGATTTGGGTTGAATATTGGACTTTGAGAATCATAGAATAATGTCTTCTCTGAGAAATTGAATTGGAATTGCTTTTGTTTTTGCTTTTTTAAATAATAGTTTGAATCATGATGTGGGACCTGTGAAAGAAAACACAAATACCCCTGATAACCCAAGTGGAAATGGCAAACAAGATCGGATCAAACAGAGAAGAGCTTCCTGTCCTCGGTCAGACAAGGGAACTAAATTTCAGCTTACTGTTCTTCAGGTCAGTGTGTAAATATGATTTGGTTAAGAGTGCATGTTGAGTTCTGGGGAGTCAGGGAGGGGCGATGTTGCTGTGGCAGTGAGTATAGAGTATGAAATTCTTCAGCAGACACCCTTGAGCACAAATCTTTGTATTTGTGCTGATTATTTCCTTATGATAGATTCTTAGAAGTAGAATTATTGATCAGAGTATGAAGATTTTTAAAATTTCTCAATACATATTTCTAGATTGTTGTCCAGAAAGGTTGGTCCAATTTACATTTCTATTATCAGCGAATTTTCTTTTGCTTAAAGGTCAATTTGTGGGATTAGGAGAATTTTGAAAATGATTAGCCAGATTTAGATCTTTGCATTGCACATAGTTATAGGGACTATTGTAACTCTTTTTGTATTTTTATAAAAGTTGTGTTCCTTTTCTTTCCTGATTTTTTTGCTGAATAATTTGAGCCTTAGATTTGTCATACAGTAGTTATTTAGACAGTATTTCACCAAGGGAAAAGTAGAATCTTTTTAGATTCTCAATATTTTAGACCATTTTTTCATATATTTTATGTGAGCTCATTGAAATATTTCCTGTACCATTTGCAAAGAGAAGGCAATGACTGACTCTTAAACTAGTAAAATGTTTGTGCCCAGGTTTCAACCTCTGGAGACAACATGGTGGAGTGTCAACTGGAGACACACAATAATAAGATGGTCACCTTCAAGTTTGATGTTGATGGTGATGCACCAGAGGATATTGTAGACTATATGGTAAGTACAGAAAAGACAAATTATTTTCCCTTCAGCATTATGTGTCTTTTTCCCCTTTAATTCTCCCCCTTCAATTACTCAGAGACATATTTTCTTAGGGTACTGCTACTTTTTAAAATTCGTAAAGAGCTAAATTGTTTATGATCAAAAGTAAGTCACTATACCCCCTCTGGTGTCAGTATATTTATGTGTAAAATATGAGGGAGTTTCATTAACAGAGGAGCTAGGCCAGTGGTTCTTAACTCTAGCTGCATGTCAAAATCAACAGAAGAGCTAACAGTCCTTTGGGGAATTCCTTAGAGGTCCAGTGGTTAGGACTTGGAGCTTTCACTGCAGTTGCCCGGGTTCAGTCCCTGTTCCGGGAACTAAGATCCTGCAAACCTCATGGTGTGGCCAAAAAAACCCTAAGACAAAAACAGTTCTGTTGCCTGCGTCCCTAATTAAATTAGAATTTTGGGGGAGGAGGCCTAAGCATTAATAGTTTATACAGTTATAACATCTTACATATAGGTGTTCAAGTAATGTTCATCATTTCATTTAGTTTTTGTATTTTCTTTGAATTGTTAGGCTTAAGTTAGTATTCCCCTCTTTTTTTAGGGGAATGGGCTAGGGTGGCAGGAAGAGTACATAATACTTTCATTTCTGCCAGTTTTCTTTGGATATATATTCCTGGTCAAGCAGAATTTAACATTTGAAAATGTTAATAATTTTGTGAATTCTGTCTCTTATTCAACTTAGTTTTTTTCTGAACTGTCTTGGAGCCATACTTTATCATCTTTAGAGATGTTTCATTTTTTGATTTTTGATTTAAAAGCTTTTGGGTTTGGACATCCTAGTTTTAAATGTAAACATTGCCTCAGTTATGTTATTCAAATGGCAATTAATTTATAGAATGCCAAAATTTTTTTAAAAATGCTGGCTTCTGGTAGGTAAGTAGTGCCAATCTGACAAATGTTGGTGATCTCAAATAGAAAGAATAATTTAATGTGTTGTCTGGCATTTTATTGCTGCTGTTGCTGCTGCTAAGTCGCTTCAGTCGTGTCCGACTCTGTGCGACCCCATAGACGGCAGCCCACCAGGCTCCCCCGTCCCTGGGATTCTTCAGGCAAGAACACTGGAGTGGGTTACCATTTCCGTCTCCAATACATGAAAATGAAAAGTGAAAGTGAAGTCGCTCAGTAATGTCTGACTCTTAGCGACCCCATGGACTGCAGCCCACCAGGGTCCTCCATCCATGGGATTTTCCAGGCAAGAGTACTGGAGTGGGTTGCCATTGCCTCCTCCGATTTTATTGCTAGTCTTTCTTAATTCTGTTGTGGCAATCGAATCTAAATACCAATTAATTTTTCTTTATGGTAGTCACCATATTATAATTTCAAAGAAACTAAATACATTCTTTTGAATAGACTTACTTTTCCTTTTGGATAGGTTGAAGATAACTTTGTCCTGGAAAGTGAAAAAGAAAAATTTGTGGAAGAATTGAGGGCTATTGTAGGTCAAGCCCAGGAGATCCTTCATGTTTACTCTGCTACAGAAAGAGCTGTTGGAGTTGACTCTGTTACTGTGGAACCCAGCAGTAGCCAAGTAAGAGCAGTTGCTTAGCAAATAGGTCTTCTTGAATATATATCAGGAACTTCTTTATTTATCTATTTATTTTTAATTCAGACAGGATCATCTGAACAAGTACAGATAAATTCTGCCTCCAGTCAAACCAGCAGTAAGTATATTTAACAAAATTTACCATTTGGCTTTTGAAGCAAGACATTTGGAAACTTAATTTACACACCTTGGGAAGGATATTAGCCAATAAAGGAATTCGATAAATTGTTAATATAGGTTTCCTCACACTTTGAAATGACTTTTATAGCTCAGAAATGAGAAGTAAAAAAAGTGAGAAGTAAAACTCTTCTCCAAATTTCCTCTAAGTATTGGTTCTTTACCTGATTAATTTATTTCTGAGTTGTTGCATGGTTTGTTACCAGAAAAGCAGTCAAATTACTGATGATGTTTAACAGCTTTACTGTTTGAACTTAACTGGCAAGTTTTATTTTTCTCCTGATATGAGATGGACAGCGACTTTCTTAACTAAAATCACTGTGTTCTGAGTTTGCCTCATGTTTAATATCAGTAGCATTCGTTTCTTGATTTCATTCCACAAATGATATGCTTCTACCTGCTCTGATCACTAATAAGTTTTGTAAATCAGATATCAGATAAATGTCCATGGACTAAAAATGAGGTCTTCTATTTTCTCTTCTCACAACCTTTTTTCTCCATTCTTTTCAACTCTGATCATAGGTATATTTAGAGTATCTGTGAGAGGGAGAAGAGCCATAGCCAAATGAAGACCTCTGAAGGAATTATAATAGCATGAAGAAACAACAGATGGTGTGGGAGTTATGGAACCAGATACCATTATCCTGAAAGTTAGATTGTTTTAGGCTGCCAGGGTTTTCTCCTCTGTCTTCATTTTCTTATTAGTAGGAGTTTGAGTAGATTTCTAACTGGCAAAGTAGGGTAAAGTTTAAGAGAATTACTTATTTGAATAAGTTAATAAAGTAGGAATACAGATGTAGGGGCTTATATTACTTTGTTTTTTAAGTTGTTACAAAGTAAAATTTGCTTTTTTTCTTTTGGTGTAGAGTTCTGTAAATTTTAGTCTTCTTAATAGATATGTGTAAGCACCATAATCAAGATACAGAACAAAGGTGTAGGTTTTTAATTTATTTTTATTAGTTGGAGGCTAATTACTTTACAACATTGCAGTGGTTTTTGTCATACATTGAAATGAATTAGCCATGGATTTACATGTATTCCCCATCCCGGTCCCCCCTCCCACCTCCCTCTCCACCCGATCCCTCTGGGTCTTCCCAGTGCACCAGGCCTGAGCACTTGTCTCATGCATCCAACCTGGGCTGGTGATCTGTTTCACCCTAGATAGTATACATGTTTCGATGCTGTTCTCTTGAAACATCCCACCCTCGCCTTCTCCCACAGAGTCCACAAGTCTGTTCTATACATCTGTGTCTCTTTTTCTGTTTTGCATATAGGGTTAACGAAGGTGTAGGTTTTAATGGAAATAATGCTTTTCATTTTTTTCCAAAAAGAAGTGCCCTGCTTTTAATCACTACTGATGCAGTGTTTGTTTCTGAAGAATCCAAAATCCTTCTCTAAAGCTATCTTGCGCTTAGTTTTTTAGAGTATCTGTCAGTCGGGTTTGGGAGGTCTGGTCTTATAAGTTACTAGGCTAGCTCGTGCTGTTGGAAATGGAGATAAAAGACAATTTGTTGTTTTAACCTGAGTTTCTTAGTTAACAAGTTAGACATATTAACAATTGCTTAGCATATTAATTTTTGCCAATTCTTTCTACAGATGAATCTGCTCCTCCTCAGTCATCCCCAGTTGGTCGATGGCGATTTTGTATAAATCAGACAATAAGAAACCGTGAGGCTCAATCTTCTCCTTCACTTCAGCAGTACATGCCTACAGTTCCTGGGTTAAACCTACTTTCTAGTAAGTGTTTGTTGTCTGCACCTTTATCCAGACCTGGAAGATGGCGGTGCAAAATATATACCATATATTTAAGTTGTTTTCATGTAAAAGACCCTGATGCTGGGAAAGATTGAAGGCAAAAGGAGAAGGGGGCAGCAGAGGATGAGATGGTTAGATAGTATCACCAACTCAATGGACATGAATTTGAGCAAACTCTGGGATATAGGGAAGGACAGGGAAGTCTGGCATGCTGCAGTCCATAGGGTTGCCAAGAGTCAGACACGACTAGCAACTGAACAACAACATGGGTATTTTATGCTTATGAGAATTTCCATAAGCATTTTTGAAGATGTTAATATTAGAATATAACTTAAGCCATTTAAATTTTATTATTTATGAACAAAAGAAAAGGTTTTTTCTCCTTGTCATGTTGAATTCTGTGTATTTTGATTCTTATTTACAAGAGTAGTTTCACACTGGTTCTGATTTGCCCCTTGTTCCTCCTTGTCCCTTTTGAGTTTGGACTAGTCTGTGCTTTGTACTTAACCAATACATGCTTAGCCATTCTTTGTTATTATTCCAGGTCCAAGAAACATAAGTAATAAGGAAATATCACAGGACACACTGCTTACTCTAGAAAGTAATCCATGCCAGCGTGTACTTTTCACCTCCACATCACAACATAAGGATGTAGTTGATGGTAAGATTTCTGAATATGCCAGTGTAGAAACTAAGCAGCCAGCTATACTTTATCAAGTCGAAGAAGACAGGCAGATTATGGCACCAGTTGCTAGTAGTTCCAATCATACTGCTACTTCAGTTCGTGCAGTTCCACTTGAATGTGAGGGACTCACCAACGAAGCAGGCATATTTCTACCTGTGTATCCAGGTCACCAAGCTGCCAGTCAGGCAGCTTCTGGCGAGTCAACTCAGATTGCTACTAACTGTCTTACAACCCCAGCATTTATATCTGATCAAAAGCCTCAGTCCTTACTAGCGAAGCAGCCAACTACAGATGCAGAATTTATTTCCCAAGAAGGAGAAACTGCAGTGAACATGGAAGCAAGTTCTCCTAAGATGGTTGTTCCCACTCAGAATCCCGGCCTTGAACCAACCAGCCTTCTATCCTCTACTGTCCTGGAATCAGATGGGGAAAGACCTCCAAAAATGGAATTTGCAGACAACCGAATTAAAACTCTGGATGAAAAATTAAGAAATTTGCTCTATCAGGAGCATAACATACCTAGCATCTACCCTGAGAGTCAGAAGGATACCCAAAGCATAGACTCTCCATTTTCTTCCTCTGCTGAAGATGTACTCTCATGTCCAGTGCCAGAAGTCATAGGCACCAGTCACTGTGAAATTCAAGATAGTCCTGCACAGTCCCCTAATTTTCGACAGACAGGCTCTAAGATTCTGTCCAATGTGGCTGTGAATCAGCCTGCTAACATATCAGTGTTCAAAAGGGACCTGAATGTGATAACTTCTATACCCAGCGAATTATGTTTACATGTAAGTATCATTCTTTCTAACCAATTCCTTATGCTTTTAAAAGAAATGCCTTCTTTTTTAAAGTTCTGCCCTTTGAAATGAAATTATCTATGTCATAAGATTCTGAGGTCACAGTTGTTTAAAAGGCCATGGCTTAGGATGCAGGGGCCTAAAACTTCTCAATAGAGGCAGTAGAACTATCTTTGGTGAGAGACCCCTCTGTTGAATTAGCTAGGAACTTGTGAGCAATGTTTATGTTTATATTAATGACAGAACAGGACTGATAGATTGTTTTAGAGGGCAGGAAGAACTTGCTTTTAGATTTCCACTTAAAAATACCTATTATCAGTTTCTTTTTTAAAATATTATGGTTTCAATTTAATCTTGTTTGTGGGTTTTTTATTTATCTGAAAAAATTCTTTAAAAGAAAATTAAAATCCCCCATAATCCCCTGACTTTTTTTTAAAATTTATGTAATGTAAGAATTTAACTTCTCTTTTCTGTTCCATCAGCTCATAGGGATAACCACTGTCTGGTGCTTATCCACTATATGGTACTTATCCTTCTTGACTTAAGCTTATACAGATCTGGTTAAAAACCTATAACTTTTTATTCAATAAAATAGGATTGTGCTATAAACATATTGGTCTACAACTTAATTTTTTATTTTATAGTATATCATAGACATATTTAAAAATATTTATCACTATCTCTTTTATTATTATTTAAGTAATATATGCATGTATATAAAGTAAAATCCACCCCATTTCCAAACCTATAGACACAGCTGTTAATAAATCTTCCCAGATATGGTTTTAACTAACATACAAATATTTATATAGCACTTTTTTATATGTATATCTATTTGCAAAGATACAGATATATACTATATATTTATATACATATACTTCCTTATATACATGTGCTGTTCTGCACTTTTTTTCCCCACTTACAGACATCTATCCATGTTAGAATACATAGTTTTACCTCAGCTAACAGCATAACATCCCACTGAATAAAAATAACTTACTTATTTTTTTTGTAAACTAGTAATTTAAAGTTATTCAGTTAATTTGTAAACACAAAAATTCAAGAGGTTAGGAAATTAAATTGTTGTGTTGACACTCCCACTCCCCAAACATTTAAGTTCCTGGTTTTAGTTCTTGTGGTCATTGCTATTGATAACTTGTAAATAATATACTTACTGATTTTTGGAGTTAGCAATTTCATACAATAAAATCTGACTCATTTCTCTGAATGATGGAGAAATTATATTTTCTCTTTCCTCTACTTTTTTCCCTATACACCTCCCATTTTTTATTACTTAAATTGCATTTTAGCATTAGCAAAGTTATAACATCTACATTTTTTAATAGTTGGTTATGTCTTGTCTGTTGGAGAAGGAAATGGCAACACACTCCAGTGTTCTTGCCTGGAGAATCCCAGGGACGGGGGAGCCTGGTGGGCTGCCATCTATGGGGTCGCACAGAGTCGGATACGACTGAAGCGACTTAGCAGCAGCAGCAGCAGCATGCCTTGTCTGTAGGTTGATTGGAAGAATTGAAAATCAGTAAATAACGTATTATATGTGTTATCTGATGATCATGTAATGTGATTAGAACCATAAAAAATGAAATGTAATTCTCTATCATTTAAGCTCTGTTGCTCAAAAGAAAATCTTCGAAGTGTCAAAGTCAAATGGATTCTTTTATTTGTTTCAAATGTCTAGTTGCTACATCTAGATCAAACTTATTACCTGCCACTGTTTCTGGTGTCCTAGAATTCTGTTTTGTTTTCCTCCTCAAATGCTTCTATAAATAATATTTTAAAATACGTTGCATGGATTAGCAATTTGATTTTTTTGAATGTCCAAAAATGTCTTTATTTTGTTTTACACTTAGTTAAATATAGATAGTAGCATCGTTTTGAGTTAATTTTTGTATATGGTGTGAGATAAAGATCCAGCTTCATTTTTCTGCATGTGATTATCTAGTTGTTCCAGCACTGTTTGTTATTTTATTCTTTTTATTGTTATTATAAATGAAATTGCTTTTTTAAATTTCCTTTTCTTTTTTTTTTTTTTAGGGAGTCCAGGGAAAGATTTATTTTCACATATCTAATACGAAGGCATATATGTATACAAAGAGGAAATGTACAGTAGTTTTTTCTTGTTTTTTTTTCATTTATTTTTATTAGTTGGAGGCTAATTACTTTACATCATTGGTTTTTGTTAAATTTCCTTTTCTGATTTTTCATTGGTAGCGTATAGAAATACAATTGATTTTTTTGATTGTTGATCTTATATCCTTCTACTTTGCTTTGTTTATTAGCTGTAATAGCTTTTGGTGGATATTCTATGTAATATATAAGATCGTATCATCTGTGAATAGACAGTTTTATTTCTTCATTTCCTTTTTTTCTTATTCATTTAACTTTTTATTTCATGTTTTCCATCTCGTTGTCCTTTTGCTTTTTGTACTGGGAGAATTTCTCTATTTATAAGCAGTTTATAATCTATTCAGCTATTTTTTATATGAGATCATATTTTTAATTTCTAATAATTTCTTTTTCTTATGGATGTAGTATATTCACAGATGTCTTTGAAGATATTAAAGCCTTATTCTGTGTTATTAATGCTATTTCCTTGGCTATTCTGTTTGTTGAGTTTAGTGTTTTCTTAAAGTACTGATTTCCCAAAAGTGTTGGTGATTCTTTATTGTGTACTCGGTTTTTCTTTTTCCCCCATGAGATTCCCTCTTTGTCTGTTTGTAAGTGCTATATATAATTACTATGGTCTTTTACAGGTGGTTGACCAGTTTTCCCAGCACCACTTGTTAAAGAGGTTGTCTTTTTTCCATTGTATATCCTTGCCTCCTTTGTCAAAGATAAGGTGACCATAGGTTCGTGGATTTATCTCTGGGCTTTCTATTCTGTTCCATTGATCTATATTTCTGTCTTTGTGCCAGTACCATACTGTCTTGATGACTGTGGCTTTGTAGTATAGTCTGAAGTCAGGCAGATTGATTCCTCCAGTTCCATTCTTCTTTCTCAGGATTACTTTGGCTATTCAAGGTTTTTTGTATTTCCATACAAATTGTGAAAGTAGACATTTCTCCAAGGAAGACATACAGATGGCTAACAAACACATGAAAAGATGCTCAGCATCACTCATTATCAGAGAAATGCAAATCAAAACCACAATGAGGTACCATTACACACCAGTCAGGATGGCTGCTATCCAAAAGTCTACAAGCAATAAATGCTGGAGAGGGTGTGGAGAAAAGGGAACCCTCTTACACTGTTGGTGGGAATGCAAATTAGTACAGCCACTATGGAAAACAGTGTGGAGATTTCTTAAAAAGCTGGAAATAGAACTGCCATGTGACCCAGCAATCCCACTTCTGGGCATACACACCGAGGAAACCAGATCTGAAAGAGACACGTGCACCCCAATGTTCATCGCAGCACTGTTTATAATAGCCAGGACATGGAAGCAACCTAGATGCCCATCAGCAGACGAATGGATGAGGAAGCTGTGGTACATATACACCATGGAATATTACTCAGCCATTAAAAAGAATTCATTTGAATCAGTTCTAATGAGATGGATGAAACTGGAGCCCATTATACAGAGCGAAGTAAGCCAGAAAGATAAAGTCCATTACAGTATACTAACACATATATATGGAATTTAGAAAGATGGTAACGATAACCCTATATGCAAAACAGAAAAAGAGACTCCGATGTATAGAACAGACTTGTGGACTCTGGGAGAAGGCGAGGGTGGGATGTTTCAAGAGAACAGCATCGAAACACGTATATTATCTAGGGTGAAACAGATCACCAGCCCAGGTTGGGTGCATGAGACAAGTGCTCGGGCCTGGTGCACTAGGAAGACCCAGAGGGATCGGGTGGAGAGGGAGGTGGGAGGGGGGACCGGGATGGGGAATACATGTAAATCCATGGCTAATTCATTTCAATGTATGACAAAAACCACTACAATGATGTAAAGTAATTAGCCTCCAACTAATAAAAATAAATGAAAAAATAAAAAAATAAAAAAAAATTACTATGGTCTTACTCTAGTAATTATGAGGAAAACCTGGGACATGCTTCCTGGCACTGGTTATTGCAACTTGTCTCTGATGCTGCCTAGAGGGAGGTCTAATAGCTAGTCTTCAAAAGTAGCAGGGCTTCCCCTTACTCCTAGATCTTATCTCCTCCCTATATTGCCAATATTTTTTTTGGCCACAAATATTTTCCTCTTGCCACTCTTATTTGGGAGCAGATACCGCTGATGTCTTTTCTTTGTTGTGGAGGTGAGGTAGGAAGTTGCAGAACTGTCTGGCTGTTCCTTCTTTGGTACCCCAACCAGTTCACTCTTCCATTCAGTGGATATCTACTGAGCAGTGAATGAGTCAAGATCTCTGTTTTTTGTGGAACTCACACTCTAGTGGGGGAAAATAAATCCTAAACAAACAAAAAGGGCTACGATAGGATGACTAAGGAATTATTTTAGATAGGGTGGTCACGGAAGGATTTGTGATGGTGATATTCACAGGTAGAGACCTGTTTTAGGAACCAAAAGGTCAGTAAGTAGTAGGGTGTTACAAGATGATGTTGAAGTGACAGATAGGAGACAAATTGTGTGTAGCTTTGTAAGCATTCTATCCAATTACTCATCCTTTTGGTTGTTCAGGGCGCTCTCTCCTGCTGCCCATATCTCACACCTGAGTTTACTGCATTTTTAAACAGTTCTTGCATATGTCATTATGCAGATTAAAGGAGGCTACTTTTTCCTCCTTTAATCTTATATGCATGTGTCTATATATGATTTTCCTGTTGCACTTACAGCTTTGGGTTGATAAGAGAAGCTAGAACTTGTATTTATCATCTTGATCCAGTTATTACTTAATAAAAATCTTTTCTGTAATTTCAGTGGGACTGATGTAACACTTTCTAAATTGTAATATTATTGAGTTTTTTTTTCCTCTTTATGAAAGTAGTATTGCTAGTCCAAAATAGGACTTTGGAAAATAAAAACTCATTGTTCAGAATTTTACTTTTAATGACTATTGACTCTCAGTATTAAAAATGCTTATCCCAAACTGCAGTTTACTTCATGCTGCTTTTAGGCTATCTTGGAGAAGGAAGGGGCAACCCACTTCAGTATTCTTGCCTGGACAATCCCATGGATGGAGGAGCCTGGCAGGCTACAGTCCATGGGGTCCAAAAGAGTCGGGTACAACTGAGCGACGATCAGGCGATCTTCCTGCAGACAAATGCTAAATCCTATCCTTTGAGCTTTTCAATACTCTTTTAATTTTCTAAGTTTGTAGGGGCCATTCTCAGGTTTCCCAAAGTATTTCTGGCTGTGTATGTTAATTTTTTCTATGAGTTATTGTAAGGAATTTATTTTTAAAGTACTCAGAATACAGCAGTTAATTCTTATTTGGGGGGGGAAAAATGGGAATACAAGAAGAGGGAAGTGTGATTTTATAGTCAGCTGTGGCCTGATGTTAACAATATTTACAGTTTGAATTTGAGATAATTTTGAGATCCATTTTAAATTAAATTTCTGTGTGATTACATAATGTAATAAATTTGATTTGGTAATATATTTCTGTAAATCTAAATGCCTAGATATCTTGATTTTCTGTTTATCATGTGTGTCAGGCATCTTTAACTGTCTTAAGTAATATAAGCATAGATGAAAATTTCCATTTTAAGGTCATAAGGTTTAACTAACCTTTTTTTTTTTTTTAAGTAAATTGGTGCAATGAAGGTTGTTTACTTCAGATTTTAATTTTCAGTTTTCAAAGTTGCTATGATAAAAAATATTCTAGGGTGGAAATATTTTGCAATTTTATTTATCTGAAGTCTAAATAATATTTTTAAAGAAAAAGAAGGCTTAATTCCTGTAAGTTCAATACTTCAGGTTTAGTCTGACATAGTACTATTAATAGAAATATACATAGCTTTCTGTTTTTAATTGCTGATTGGTCCATACAAGAAACTCCAATGGTATAAACAACTGCTCTACCTCATGTAAATTATTACCATTTTGGTTTTCCTCTTTTTGTCTCCATTAGGAGATGTCCCCAGATGCTTCACTTCCAGGAGATCCAGAGGCCTATCCTGCTGCTGTGTCAAGCGGTGGAGCCATTCATCTGCAGACAGGAGGTGGATATTTTGGCCTAAGCTTTACTTGTCCTAGTCTCAAAAATCCTATTAGCAAGAAATCCTGGACTCGCAAATTAAAAAGCTGGGCATACAGGCTACGGCAGTCAACCAGCTTTTTCAAGAGATCAAAAGTCCGTCAAGGTAGTGTGCTTACAGTCAGGGACATAGACTAGGTAACATCATTTTTCATTTACTTCTGTTTCTTTCTGTTGTTATTCATACACAAATCTTGCCACCTTTTCCATATAGCCCATGTATGTAACATGTCCCATTAATGTCATTTCCATTTTATTTTTCTTTTTGTAACTAATTCAGTTTTAAAGTATTCATTTCATATAGATACTAAGTCTCAGGATAAATCTTGAAATGTCTGATTTAGAGGTAGGGGCTTCTACAGTGTTGCTTATTACATTAACACTTTTTTAATTGTCTAGCAGGAGTTAAGCTTTTTCTAGTTTTCTTCATTTCTGGTAACGTAAACAAATGTAATATTAACAAACCATTTTCTCCTTTCTGCTTGCAATTTTACAAAACTTGCAGTGGAAACAGAAGATACGAGATCAGCAGTTGTTCCTGACCCCATTCATCTGACAGGAGAGTCCACGACTGATACTAGGTCTTTGAGTAAATGTAAAGCAATGAGTGGATCATTTCAGCGGGGTCGGTTTCAGGTTTGTGTCTTTGGTAGAATCATTTTCTACAGGGGCATTATGAAAGGTGACAGCATTGAAGATCTAGTTCTGTAGATGGCAATTATTTTAAATTTAGATTGTTAGCATATTTAATTTTTCACCTTTATATGCATCTTCTCACCTTCTGTAGCCATCTACTAAAGGTGACTCTAAAGAAATGAGGATTTTAGTAACTGGAATAGAGTATAGATCTGTATCATTATTTTTCGGTGGGTGGTTGGGTCATCTTTTTTATAAATCTAATTTCATGTCCTTTAGAGTCTTGGCAATTAAAATATTTTTAATTTTTTATTGAAGTATAGATGGTTTACAAAATGGTGTTAGTTGTATGTGCACCTATGGAATGTTTTAATTGCAGAATTTTATTTAAGCAGTATGTAGCCAACTGAATTTACAAAGGGCCCAACTGACAAGCTTTGAATATGGCAAGAATAAATGGGCTTTTTTAAACTTTTTTTTTCTTTGATTGCTCCATGTGACATGCAGAATTTCCCTGACTAGGGGTCAGACCTGTGGCCCTTGCAGTGAAAGTGCGGAGTCTTAACCACTGGACCACTGGGGAAGTCCTAAATGGGATTTTGAAGTTTTGGTATTATCAATGTGTGTACATCGCAGAAGACCATCCAGTTGTCTGTGCCATATATCATATTGAATTTCTTTGTGGGTTTACTCTTTGGTTAGGCAGAGCCAGCCACCTCTGCCTTTTTGTGTTTCAGGTGATTACAGTTCCCCAGCAGGAGTCAGTGGAAGTGACATCTTTTGGAACAGAACTCATACCAGCATTCAATAAAGTGACAAGTCAGTCTACTGAAGAAGCTTTAGCCTTTACTGAAACAGCAAAGTCTCAATTGATAGAAATGGAACCTGTCACCAACAATCCACAAACTTCAGTTTCTTCTCAGAAGTTACAAGCTCTTCACGAAACCTTCAAAGATCCAAGAATTTCCAAACAAACTGACAACTTTTCATCTTTTAGTATAGCTTGTGAGACTGATACATCATCGATTACTACAGAAAAGGAATTGGAAGAAAATTTGGCCACAGGAAGTAGCATGCAGTCTGGATCTGAACTGCTTAAAGAGAGAGAATTACTTACTGCTAGGAAACAGCCTAGCTCTAATAGTGAATTTTCCGCCGCTCTTCCTGACAGAGGGAAATCAGTGGTGAAGACTGGTCCAGAGAGAGAAAAGTGCTTACCACTCTGTGAAGAAAAAGCCTGTGTTCAAACACAGAGCTCACACTTCTATTCACCGTCTTCCCCAATGAGCAGTGATGAGTCAGAAATAGAGGATGAGGACTTAAAGGTGGAGCTTCAAAGATTACGAGAAAAGTAAGAACTGTTTCTCTTTTGTCACGAATCTGATTGCTTTGGGTTTTATAGAACTAAGTATTTGACTGGTAGCTAATTGAGATTGGTGACATTTTGTGCTGTGTGATTAGTCACTCAGTCGTGTCCTGCTCTTTGAGACCCCATGGACTGTAGCCTGCTAGGCTCCTCTGTCTATGGAGATTGTCCAGGCAAGAATACTGGAGTGGGTTGCAATGCCCTCCTCCAGGGGATCTTCCCAACCTAGGGATCAAACCCAGGTCTCCCGCATTGTAGGCAGATTCTTTACCATCTGAGCCATCAGGGAAGCCTGGGGTGGGTAGTCTATCCCTTCTCCAGGGGATCTTCCTGACCCAGGAATCGAACCAGGGTCTCTTGCATTGCAGGTGGATTCTTTACCAGCTGAGCTACCAGAGAAGCCCTGGTGACATTTTAATGATTCAAAAAAAATTTATGATTGAAAACTACAAAGACAGCATCAGATCCCAGAGGCTAAGGGCTCAGTCCCACAAGACTGCCCCCTTCAGATGCCCATCACAAGTCCAAATAGTGTTACCTATGCTTCTGACCAACCTGGAACCAGCCAGATGGCAAGGTATAGAAGGGGCAAGGAACTTCATGGCCTTTCAGGAGTGCCACTATCCAGCACCTCCATGCCTTCATCAACCTAGAAGCTCTCAGAATCCCTGTAATTCACAGATTTTTATGGAAACTTCATTATGTAGGCATGATTGAGTAAATCATTGGCCATTGGTAATTAATTCAACCTCCAGCCTCTTTTCTCTCTTTTAGAGGTACCCATCCTTAGGGGTTATCCAGAAGTCACTTTGTGATTTAAAGGGGCTTGTTTTGAATAATGAGACACTCCTGTATCACTCTGGAAATATTTCAGGAACTGGAGGTATTTGAGGACAAAAGAACAAACATTGTAACAAGATTCTCCCATCACTCTTATCATTTAGAAAATTACAAGGGTTTTAGGAGCAGTGTACCAGGAATAGGGACCAAGATCAAATAACATCTTTTTAAATTATAAATCATAATATCACAACAGTAAAAATGCACACAAAACAGTCTGTTTCTCATAGGAAACCACTGGTATATAACTTGCCCATCATTTTTCTATGCATTTACAAATATATAGTTTTTAAGTTTATAAAAGTAGGATCATAATATACATGTTATTCTGTATTTTTTGGCTTAACATTGTCTCCTCTTCATGTTTGCACAAATAATCTCTATTCCATGCATTAGGATAGCATATAGCCATTTAAAGTTTATTTGTGTGTATGTGTGCACAGTCTAACTGTTTGTAACCCCATGAACTGTAGCCTGCCAGGCTCACCTGTCCATGAAGTTTTCCAGGCAAGAATACTGGAGTGGGTTGCTATCTCCTTCTCAGGGGCATCTTCCCTACCCAGGGATTGACCCCCCCCCCCCCCCGTATGTTGCATTGGCCAGAGTAGGCAACGGCAACCCACTCCAGTACTCTTGCCTGGAGAATCCCATGGACAGAGGAGCCTGGTAGGCTGCAGTCCATGGGGTCACTAAGAGTCAGACACGACTGAGAGACTTCACTTTCACTTTTCTCTTTCATGCGTTGGAGAAGGAAGTGGCAACCCACTCCAGTGTTCTTGCCTGGAGAATCCCAGGGACAGGGGAGCCTGGTAGGCTGCCGTCTATGGGGTCGCACAGAGTCGGACACGACTGAAGTGACTTAGCAGCAGCAGCAGCATTGCTGCATTGGCAGGTAGATTCTTTACCACTGCACCACCTGAAAGCCCCAAAGTTTGTTTAATCCCTCCTTAATGAGAATTTCAGTTTTATCCCATATTTTGCTTATATAAAAAATGTTGAAGTGAACATCCTTTTATGTTTGTGTACTTATATTAGAAGGATATATACCTAAAACTGGAATTGCTAGATTAGAGGTTTGTACATTTAAAATTGTGATTCAGTGTAAATATACCATTTTACATACCAAACAGAAATCTATAAAAGTGCCTGTTTTCCCACTCCTTCACAGCATTAGACTAGGTGTTATTGATTCTTTTAATTTTATTCCAATCAGGTGAATAAAAATTATTATTTAAAATTTGTGTTCTAATTAATACTAAGGTTGTGTATCATCTCATATTTATTGGCTATTTGTATTTCCTCTCCCTTTAGAGTTACCTTTTTTAATTCTTTCCCCCTTTTCTATAAAGTCATTGATTTTTGGCAGATATTTATACATTCTGAATATTAACCTTTTACTATGTTGCAAAATTTTTTCCTGTTTACACTTACAACATATAATCATGTTAATATTATCAGTACTATGGAACTTTAATTTTTTAAATTATCTTTTACTATATTGAGGTTTTATAAATTTGTCCTTGTCAATTTATTGAGCTTTTTCTTTGTGTCTGATTAGTTTAATGTTGCACTTTAGGAAGACACTGATCATCTTAATTTTGTGAGAATATTCTGTATTTCCACATTCTTAATCTAAATTCCTTGTTAAACTTTACTTGTACTGGTAGAGTTCCTTGGCTCATCTATATGGCGCCTGTGCCTTTAAAGTGCTTTCTGCATGATTTTTCTTCAGACATATTCAGGAGGTGGTAAATCTTCAAACCCAGCAGAATAAGGAGCTACAGGAGCTCTATGAACGCCTTCGAGCAATTAAAGAGAGCAAAGTCCAATCATCAGAAGCTCCTGTATCACCTGCATCACCACGTAGACCAAGATCTTTAAAAAGCAAACTTCGAAGCCGTCCCCAGTCCTTGACACGTGTGGACAGTGGCACAATTGCTACAGGTAAATCAGTCTTATAAGTGATTTTAAAATCCTGGTCAAAGATCAGCAAGATTAGAAAAAGAACACTAATAAACTTATTTTTTATTAAGCTAAGATTATTTAAAGAAGTACACATTTTTCTGACATTTTTTCTTTTTGGTGCCGAATGTTCTTTTATGAAATAATGATAAGAATAGGTGATAGATTTTGGAGAGCAGACGAGTGTTGTTTTCATTTGGAAAACAAATACCTGGAAGCCCAATTTCGATCCCCAAAACAGTTTTTGAAAAGTTGGTAGTCAATGGGAACCGCTGGTCTAGCATTTGGAATTTGTTTAGGAGTTTGTTGCTAACAAAGATAATCTTGAAAGTAAAGTCATGTTCTATCTGATGTAAGAGATCTTTATTTATTATGAGAATATTAGAAAAAATGTATGTCTTTGAATTTGTAAAAAGACAGGATCAGTCTCTGCTTAACTAATAAATAAGTTGATCACATCAGACTTCTTGGTTCCATGTGTATAGTCAAGGTGAGGATTAAGGGTGAACTATAAGGGTATGTATGAGATCTGAAAAGAATTTGTGGTAGGCAGAATAATGATTCTCCCCCAAAGATGTCCATGTACAAATTCTTGCAGCCTATGATTATGTTCAGTTGTATGGCAAAGGGTAACTGAGGTTGTAGATGGAATTAAAGATGGTAATCAACATTTTAAAATAGATATCCTGGATTATCTGAGTGGGCCCAGTGTAATCACAAGGTTCCTCTGAAGTAGAAGAGGCAAAAGAAAGGGTCAGAGAAAAGATGTGAAAAAGGAAGCAGTGTCAGAGAGAATTCAGCATTACTGGCTTTGAAGGTGGCAGAAAATCGTCACAAACCAAGGAATGCAGGCAGCCCTTAGAAGCTAGAAAAGGCTGCGGAACTTTGAAAAAACAAGGTTTATTATTCACAGATTGTGGGGGGTACACATTTTGTGGGGCCACATAATGAAAGGTTTGGTCAGGATATGGGAAACAGGAGCACACACTAGAGAGCAAGAGCAAACACTAGCAGACCTAGGGTTCTTCATTTATTTGGGTTAAGGGTGGGGTACCTAGGGTTTTTCAAGTTCACTCCTTATAGGTGAATTTAAAAAGAAAGTGGGAGTTAAAGCACAGGGAGGGAAAAGCAGGATCACTCAAATGATCACTTATCTAGGTCAGCCAGGACTTTCTAAAAGGGCAGCTTCATGGGTGGGGTGGCCTGGCTCTTTATCTAGTTGTATAGCTGGCAGTGTGTTTATTTGAGATAGATTTGTTTGAAATGTATTGTTTAGTCGCTGGGTCATGTCCCACTCTTTTGAGACCCCGTGGACTGTAGCCTGCCAGGCTCCTCTGTCCATGGGATTTCCCAGGCAAGAATACTGCAGTGCGTTGCCATTTCCTTCTCCAGGGAATCTTCCCAATCCAGGAATTGAACCTGCATCTTTTATGTCTTCTGCACTGGCAGGCAGATTCTTTACCACTGAGCCACTTTGAAATACATACCTCAGCAATCAAAAGCTTAATGCCAGGCACTTACTTATATTACAATAAAAAAAACTAATTGTCAGGCACTTGCACTACACCACATCTTTCTAATCAACCATAGGATCTCATGGTAAAAAAACATGCCTTTTGAGATTGCTTTTTTTGACTCAGAACATGTCTTTGCTATTGTTTAAGTTATTTTGTGTTTTAATAGCTTGTTGCTTTTTTGTTTCTCAGTAATATTCCATGGCATGACATGGTATGATGTACCACAGCTTGTTTATCTATTTACCTGTTGAGAGATATTAGGATTGTTTCAGTGTTGGGTTTTACAAATAAAGCTGCTGTAAATATTCATGTGCAGCTTTCCAGATCACTTGGATAAAATACTCAGAAGTAAAATTGCTTGGTCATATATATGTACATTTTAAATTTTTAAGAAACTTCAAAACTGTTTTCCTAAGCAGATGCATCATTTTCCATTCCTATCAGTAATGTATGAAACTTCTGTTTTCTCTGGATGCTCTCAGCATATCATATTACTGGTATTCTTAATTTTAACATAATAGGTGTGTGGTAGTATTATATGGTGGTTTTAATTTTCATTTCCCTGATGATTTGTGATATTAGACATTTTTTCCCTTATGCTTATTTGCTATCCATATATCCTCTTTGGTTTAGTGCCTATTTCAGACTTTTGGCATTTTTTGTATCCTGTTTTTTTAGAAGGATTTATAAAGAATTAGTGTTAATTTTTTCTTAATTGTGTGGTAGAATTAAACAATAAAGCCATCTGGACCTTGGTTTTGTATGTTAGAAATATCAATTCAGTCTCCTTCCTTGTGATAGGTCTATTAAGATTTTTCTCTTTCCATGAGTCAATCTTTGTGATTTTGTAGAAATCAGGCCCTTTCATCCAAATTACCAAATTTGTTGTCATATGATTTTTCACAGAATTCTCTTAAAATCCTTTTTATTTCTGTAAGATTTGCAGTGATTTCCCCTCTTTTATTTTTTATTTTAGTACTTTGAATCTTTTCTCTCTTTTGTTTTCCCTTGGTCAGTCTAGTAAAAGGATTGTCAATTTTGTTGATATTTTAAAAAAGCAACTTTTAGTTTCACTGACTTTATTATTTTTCTTTTCTTTATGTCCCTTATAATCTTTATTATTTCCTTCTTTCTACAGGCTCTAGTTTGCTCTTCTTTTAAAAGTTTTTTCTAGAATAAACTCAATGAGATCCATACTAGATAACACTGACTTTATCAGTTGAATTATGATATGCGTAGGTATGAATCTCATTGATATTTTTTCTGCCCCCTTCTGTTCACCTTTTGGAACTTCCATTATGCATATTTTGTAATGCTTGATGGTATTCCACAGGTCTTCAAGGTTTTCTTCATTTTGTTTCATTCTTTCTTTCTCTCGGAGTGGATTTCTGTATTATGTGATCTTCTTGTTGGCTGATTCTTTCTTTTGCTCACTCAAATCTGTTATTGAGCCCCTCTAGTGAATGTATTTCAGTTTTTATACTTTTCAACTCCAGAATTTCTATTTTTAAAAAAAACTAATTTCTGTCTCTTTATTTATATTCTCTATTTGGTGTGAGACACTGTTATCATACTTTAATTTTTTAGGCAGAGTTTCCTTAAATTTGAATACAGCTATAATAGCTGATTTTAAAGGCTTTGTCTACAACATCCAAAATGTAAGCCTCTTTCAGGATTTTTTTTCACTCCTTTTTTTTCCTTCTTAGTGTATGTGATATACATTCCTATTTCTTTGCATTTCTGTTAATTTTGTGATGAAAACTGGATGTTGTAGATTGTAATAGCTCTTGTACCAGATTCTTCTACCCACTTCCTCACCACAGTTTGTTGTTGTTGCTGTATTCTGTTTGTTTGTTATTCTGGTTATATTTTCTTGTTGCTGTGTATTTGTTTAGTGATTTTCCTTCCCTAATTCTGTATTCCTTGAGTTATTTGCTAGCTAGAAAATTTCTAAAAAATTTTTAAAGCCTGGTATACTGGTGTTCGCACCTGGGCCAGTACATTTAGTGGCGAGCAAGTAATTGGTCAGAAAGGAAGTGAAAGTGTTAGTCACTCAGTCATGCCTGACTCTTTGACCCCATGGACTGTAGCCCACCAGCCTCCTCTACCCATGGAATTCTGCAGGCAAAAATACTGGAGTGGGTAGCCATTCCCTTCTCAAGGGGATCTTCCCCAACCAGGGATTAAACTCAGGTCTCCTGCATTGCAGCGAAGATTTTATTAAATGCCTTGTCTGTTTGTTGTTGTCAAGGAAATTTATGTGAGAAGGCACACCTTCAGGCTTCAGTTAGCAAGGCATATTTGCAGTTTACTTCTAGCTTGCCTAGGAACTCAAGTTCAGTCAGAATTAAAGTGACTCGTCCCTTTTCCTTTTTCAGGTCTTTCCTGTCCTGGCAGATGTTTACATTCCTGGGGATATGACAGAGGTTTTCAGAGTTTCCTATGGTCATCTAGTTGTCCTGAAAAGTGAAAGTCACTCAGTAGTGTCCAACTCTTTGGAACCCCATGGACTATACAGTCTATGGAATTCTCTAGGCCAGAATACTGGAGTGGGTAGCCTTTCCCTTCTCCAGGGGATCTTCCCAACCCAGGGATTGAACCCAGGTCTCTTGCATTGCAGGCTGACTCTTTACGAGCTAAACCACAAGGGAAGCCCAAAATTACTGGAGTGAGTAGCCTATCCCTTCTCCAGGGGATCTTCTCAATACAGAAATCAAACCAGAGTTTCCTGCATTGCAGGCAGATTCTTTGGCATCTGAGCTATCTAACATTCTTTTTAAGTTGTAGATCAGGCTCTTATTTGCCCCAACTGAAATCATAATCTTAAGCATCTGAGTTGTTGCCAAGCACTTTCCTATTGTTTCAGCAATGCCCTGGAGGTAGCTCCCTACCTCTTCCCACCCCCCATACCTATGCCTGGCAGGACTGCCCTGAACTCTGAGTGAAATCAAATATCCACCTCACTAAGAACAGAGATTTGTTGGACAAATTGTTGTTGGACAAATATTGATTTTGCTCTAGGGATGGTGCTTTTGTTGTTATTGTTGTTCAGTCACTAAGTCTTGTCCGACTCTTTGTGACCCCATGGACTGCAGCATGCCAGGTTCCTCTGTACTCCACTATCTCCTGGAGTTTGCTCAAACTCATGTCCATTGAATCAGTGATGCTATCTAACCATCTCATCCTCTGTCGCCCCCTTCTCCTTTTGCCTTCAGTCTTTCCCAGCATCAGCGTCTTTTCCAGTGAGTCAGCTCTTTGCATCAGGTGGCCAAAGTATTTGAGCTTCAGCATCAGTCCTTCCAATGAATATTCAGGGTTGAGTTCCTCTAGGACTGACTGGTTTGATCGCCTTGCAGTCCAAGGGACTCCTGAGTCTTCTCAAGCTCCACAGTTGCTTAGAAGAGAGCTCAAAAGAGTTCTTCCATTGTTGCAGTGCTGGGTTTTGGCTACCGCAACACTGAGCTG